GTATCGGGATTTACTTAACCCATCCCTTTTTATTGAACACTTGGTTGGTTCATTTTTCATTTCGTTTTAATTTTATTGCTATGATAAACATCTTAATCATAAAAAATGCATGCTAATGGATAAGTGATAGTTTTATTCTTGTTCCTTCTTATGTCTGTCCAGACGTTTGCAGAGTGAGTTGTCTTTCATCATTTGTGGTTTGAAGTTTCTTATTCTGGTGTCCCCAGAGGATGGCCTGTCGCATCCATTCTTTTCTATTAGGGTTGGTGGTAAAGGGAACTTGAAGAGAGTTAAGAAGTGAGACTGGAGAGAGCCCCAGGGGAAAACATAGCACAATTCTCAGGAACCAAATTAACAGCAGATCTGGGTAAGTTTAAAAACACATCATGTTGGAGGTCAAGACCTTTAACAGGGGTAGGGAGATTGAAAGTCCTGGAAATAGATACTGAAATTTTTTTAAATGAAGAAATTGAGAAGAAGAGATAAAGGAACTTGATTGTAGCATCCCGGGGGGGATTCTATTAACCCCTCACTCCATGACACAAAAAGATGCCCAAGAAGCTCCCGTATCAATCCCAAAGGATGACTAAATGTGCCTGAGCCAGAGCAGCCCAGAACCACTGGTGAGTTCTGGGAAAGAAGCTTTGGGGAGGAAGGCAGAGAGGAAGCTTTGCTTTTTTCCTGGCATTGGCACAGGAGTGCTCCCTTGATTTTTAGTCATTGTAGTCCCATCTCCAGGTGTCAAGTAGGAGCCAGTATCAGAAGTGAGCTCTGTAACCTGCTACTTCTGAATTTTCAGTGGTATCCACAAATTGTTGTTGCAGATGCTCAAGTAAACTACCCAGCCTGTGGAGAGAAGGTCAGTGTCTAATCCTTAAGTTACGTGTGCTCTGCATGAACACATCCACCTCTCTGGAAGAAAAATGTAGCGAGTGGTGAGTGAGGAGTCAGGCCTCTCTGGAAGCTTTGTGCCTTATTCCAGTCCATGCAGTAGTATGTTGGTGCCATGGTTTTGATGTTTGTCCCCTCCAAATCTTAGGTTGAAATTTGATCATCAGTGTTGGAGGTGAGGCCTAGTGAGAGGCGTTTAGCTCTTGGGGGTGGATCCTTCATGAACAGCTTGGTGCCATTTCCATGCTGGTAAGTGAGCTCTCATTCTATTAGTTCCCACAAGAGCTGGTTGTTGAAAGGAACCTGGCACCTCCCCGCCCTGCCACCTCCCCTGTCTTTCTCTTGTTTCCTCACATGCCTTGCAATCTCTGCACAGATGGTTCCCTTTTACCTTCCATTGTGAGTGGAAGCAGTCTGATGCTCTCACTAGATGCCCATATTTGAACTTTCCAGCCAGCATAATCATGAGGTGAATAATGCTCTTTTCCTTATAAATTACCCAGCCTCAAGTACTTGCTTATAGTAACACTAAATGAATAAAGACAGTTTGTAAATGTTTAACACTTGGAGGACTATAGTCATCTTTCAATGCCCAACTTTCTTTTGGATATTTCCTCTAGCTCTCCCAGCATAAAATAAGAGAACCACCCCCGATACTCCCATAAGACTGTGGAACTATCCTCCATGCTGTTCTCATGATAGTGAGTGAGTTTTCATGAGATCTGATGGTTTTATAAGTGTTAGGTATTTCCTCCTGCATTCATTCTCCTTCCTGCTGCCTTGTGAAAAAGGTGACTTCTACCATGCCTTCTACCATTACTGTAAGTTTCCTGAGGCCTCCCCAGCAGTGCTGAATTGTGAGTCAATTAAACCTCTTTTCTTTATAAATTACCCAGTCTAGGACAGTTCTTTATAGCAGCATGAAAATGGACTAACACATAAATTAATGAATATTAACAAGAGAATGATGAAGTAAATTGAAGTATATTTGTGTATAATAATACTATACTACAGTGAAAATAAATGAACATTAACATAGATAATTTTTGCATGCATATTGTCCAATGAAAAACATTTTAGAAGAATACCTGTGAACAATGTCATTGATATACTGTTTATGTAACATTTGAGTTGTACAAAAATAATACTCAATATTGCTTAGATATACAGACAAATGTGGTAAAAGTATAAAGACATGTATAGATATGTTAGACTTTCCCGAGGGAGATGGGATGGAAAAAAAATAGCACTTTTAGTGTATTTGTACAGTTTTATTTCTTAAGTTTGGAGACAAGTATCCCTGCATTTATAATATTATTTCCTCCATATTTATGTATGTCAGAAATATTTCACAATAGAATTTTCAAAAATAAAAAGAAAGAGGCAGCTATCTACTGACGCTTAAGGAGCCCTAGTGAGTCAGTGGGTTGGATGTCTTTTCTGTGATGTGTGTCATGTAGAAGCTGATGAGAAAAGCCTTTCCATGATCCTGAGAAGAAAGCACATTCTATTGTCCTGTGTTATATGGAGTTTTCCCACAGATCCAAAGGAAAGTTGATCTTGACATTTAAAATTAACTCGAACTATGTGTTTTGGAGTACATAAAAAAAGAAAAAAAAAATGGCCCGGCGTGGTGGCTCACGCCTGTAATCCCAGCACTTTGGGAGGCTGAGGCGAGCGGATCACAAGGTCAGGAGATCGAGACCATCCTGGCTAACATGGTGAAACCCTGTCTCTACTAAAAATACAAAAAATTAGCCGGGCATGGTGGCGGGCGCCTGTAGTCCCAACTGTTCAGGAGGCTGAGGCAGGAGAATGGTGTGAACCCAGGAGGCGGAGCTTGCTGAGCCGAGATGAGCCACTGCACTCCAGCCTGGGCGACAGAGCCAGACTCCATCTAAAACAAACAAACAAACAAACAAACAAACAAGTTAAGTAAATGTTTCTGGAAAAAATCTGAACTACTTTTCCAAAGAAAATGATTCTCAGTCATGAGTCACCAAGTTCTGTCCGGATATATTAGGAAATTCAGGTCAAAGACCTTCTCAAATGTTATTGCTAATTGTTCTCTGTTAAATGTGGCTCCTCTTCTTATTTCTTGAGTTTTCTAAATAATCTGATCGTATTTTTTTTTTGTGGAGCATGAACTTGCCTGTTTTAGCCCCAGCTGATCTTTGCAATGAAACCCAAATAAGTTGATCTTAGAAAATGAGAAGCTTTTAGTCAGGGAGAGCCAATAGCTGCTTTTTGGAAGTCAGACTCCAACAGGACCCCAAATGCAAGCTTTGCTTAACCTCTTGGCTTTGGGGTTGGCAAAGAGGGTCTCTGAGAGCTAGCTAAAACTCAGAGAAGGGCTTCTCAGCCAGCCTTGAAGAGAGGACTGCTCCTCTAGGTGTGGGTGGAAAGACTGACTCTATCATTTATTACTGATGTGACCAGCGGTGAGTTACGTAGCCTGTTTGAACCTTTGATTCCTCATCTGAACAGTGTGTTTTGAAGATTAAATTAAGTAATCTCCGATACATCCAGTGTATACAAGAGATGCTCACTGGCATCACTAGCCAGATTCAGACTGCAAGACACGTTGGAACTGACTTTCTGAATATCCTCCAATAACTGCAAAAATAATCATTTTACATTCAGTCCTTAAGGCATTAGTATAAATGAATTTCTAGGTTCACTAAAACATCTCTGATAAATAGAGGACAATTAATAAAAGAGAGGTTTCAAATGGAGCACTATTTTCATATGTGATGTGCCAGTAGTTCATGAAGTAGTTTTCAATGGTGCAGTTTTATATGCTTATATTGACAGCATTGGACTTAGCTTTCTAGTTACCTTCTGGTGCAGAATATTTTTTGACTTTTTAGTAATAGCCATTCTCACTGGCATAAGACAGTATCTCTTTGTGGTTTTGAATTACAATTTATCTGATGATTACTGATGTTGAGCATTTTTTCATATGCTTGTTGTGTATTTCATGTATATATCTTCTTCTGAAGTGTCTGTTCATGTCCTTTGCCCACTTTTTCAGTGTTGTTTTTGCTTGTAAATTTGTTTAAGCTCCTTACAGATTCTGAAAACATATTAGACCTTTGTCAGATGCATAGTTTGCAAATATTTTCTCCCATTCTGTAGGTTGCCTGTTTACTCTGTTGACAATTTATTTGCTGTGCAGAAGCTCTTTAGTTTGATTAAGTCCCATTTGTTTATTAATTTAGTTTTTGCAATTGCTTTTGGCATCTTTATCATGAAATCTTTGCCAGGTCCTATGTCCAGAATGGTATTGCCTAGGTTATCTTCCATGGTTTTCATAGTTTTAGATATTACGTTTCAGTCTTTAATCCATCTTGAGTTGATTTTGGTATATGATGTAAGGAAGGGGTCCAGTTTCAATCTTCTGCATATGGTTAGAGAGTTATCCCAGCACCATTCATTGAACGGATGGTCCCTGCCCCATTGCTTAGTTTTGTTAAGTTTGTTGAAGATCAGATGGTTGTAGGTGTGCAGCATGATTTCTGGACTCTGTATTCGGTTCCATTGGTCTATGTGTCTGTTTTGGTACCAGTACGATGATGATTTGGTTACTGTAACCTTGTAATCTAGTTTGAAGTTGGGTAATGTGATGCTTCCAGCTGTGTTCTTTTTGCTTAGGATTGCCTTGGCTATTCTGGCTCTTTTTTGGTTCCATGTGATGAAATAGTTTTTTCTAATTCCGTGAAGAATGCCATCGGCAGTTTTATAGAAATAGCATTGAATCTGTAAATTACATTGGGCAGTATGGTGATTTTAAAAATACGAATTCTTCCTCTCTGTGAGCCTGGAATGCTTTTTCATTTGTTTGTGTCAACTCTGGTTTCTTCGTGCAGTGCTTTGAAATTCTTGTTGTAGAGATCTTTCACCTCTGTGATTAGCTGTATTTCTGGGTATTTTATTCTTTTAATGGCTATTGTGAATGGGATTGTGTTCCTGGTTTGGCACTCCACTTGGATGTTGTTGGTGTATACTAATGTTACTGATTTTTGTACAGCTATTTTGTATCGTGGCTACTGTTACTAGTACTTCTTTTCTCTAATCAGCACTGCTGTTTTTACGTTTTTATTTTATTTTAAAAAATGGAATGCTTTACACATTTTCATGTCAGCCTTGCACAGGGGCCATGCTAATTTTCTCTTACCATTCCAATTTTAGTATATGTGCTGCCGAAGTTAACACAACACTGCTTCTTATGGGTATATCATCACATCAAAAATACAAGAGTTCTGCAGTAGAGATTGGAAATTTAGTCCCACAGGCATGTGGAAGGGAAAGGGAAGAATGCAAGCAACAGTGCGTTGAATCTATCACTTATTCTCCCCAACTTTCCAAGATCTGAGAAAAAACCAATCTCCTTATAAAAAGGTGAATGTGGCAAAGTAGAAAATTCTGGACAGCATGTCAGAAAACCAGAGACAGAGATATGTCTCCTATACGATACCTAAGGCAAGCTGGTCAGAGTCTGTCATTTGTTCTCCTAGGAGAATCTGTGAGGTCTCTAAGGTTCCTGGTTGGGTCCTCGAAGCTTACCTGTATACCCCAAATAGCCTTAGCCCTCTGCGTTGCATTTACTTGTAACTATGTCACATTAATATGGTCATCTGTTACCTTCACATCAACAAATTCAAAGCCTCCTCATAATCACTATGTACTATGCATTTTCAGCACAGGAATAAGGTTGTTCTCTTTAATTTCCTGGACTCAACAAAAGAACGACTCAATCAGAAAGAAATTCCACTTTGCATATGGTTAAACAATGCCTCAGAGATTTTCCCAACAGAAGAGAACAATGGAGTCTTGGCCCCTAAACACTGACATTCACCTGCTTCGTTTCCTATAAAAACTAGGCCAGGCCCTGTGAAATGGGCTGGCCAATGTTGTAACAGCTGTAAGACCAGCTTCTCCACTGTGAGTCTACATCGTGCCTGGAGTCAGAGGAAGGGCACTTAATTTAAATAACCTGTCCATCAAACTTTGATTCTAATTATTTTTCTCTCTAATTATTTTCTCTGTTGGTATATTCTGAGATCCAGAAATCACCTGTCTATGTACTTGCTTTTCAAGAAAGGCAAGAGCTTGCATTTATGTAAAAAAAAAAAAAAAGAGTAAGGACAATAACTCTCACATTTCAAAATTTACTTTCTAATACACAAAAATATATTAGGGGAACTAAGGTTAAGATTCTTTATCATATTGTAATGAGATTCTAAGATGACTCAACTACCTTTAGTCTTTCTTAATGAGGAATCACAATGGTTTCTGAGGGAGGGTCTACTTTTCTTAAGATGCCTGTGGAGCAGGAAATTAGCTATGCAGGAAATAGGAAAAAGGGAAGGATAGGAATGTTAGTGATTTCTGGCTACTGGACACATCCAGTTCTTGTTGATCATGCTGACCCAGGCAGGGGGTTCTCCATCTGACACTTCATGCTTTTCCTCCAACTGTATAAGCCCAGCGGCTTAAGAATGAGGATCAAAATTTTGTATATGACTAATTCTCTTCTCTCAAGACTGTGATTTTCATTTTGTCTCTAATAGATTTGCTGAAAGAAACTCCCAAAATATATTAAGTGGAAGAATGTTTATTGTAATTAAAACGTTCCCTGAGTCAGCAAAATTAGTGGCCTGATTGTGGAGGTGTCAGCAGACTCTTCAGGACTCCCCAACACGTTCCTCATCAGCTTGCTTCACAGGGAACTCTGTCTGACCCTGTGACCTGGATGCAGCCTGCATAGGGGGCCCAGCCCTCTGGGTGAGGTCACTTGCCAACCTAGAACCCTTGGCCTGAGAAACCCCTGCCATTTCTTTTTAGGTGTTTGCATATCTAGAAGGCTACCATTTAGAATGACCCTGGGAAGCATGCCAGTCTCCTATGAAAGCATGCTGTACATTTCATCCCTTAGTTAGTAGGAGGCAATGAAGGGAGTTGGAGTTTACTCTTGTCTAAACTCGAGGCAGCAGGGAAAATCAGTACACGCCTCTTATCATCAAAAACCCAAGTTTGGTATCACATGTGCCTGGGAGGGAATGAAAGGTTGGTGAAACAGACCGTCCCTATTGTTCCTTTTGCTGGAGTGTGCTATACTTAGAACACCAGGGGGACTTGTCACCATCATGGGCATTTAGAATGGCAGATGGCAAGCTGGGCGTGGTGGCTCACACCTGTAATCCCAGCACTTTGGGAGGCCAAAGTGGGCGGATCACTTGAGGTCAGGAGTTCAAGACCAGCCTGGTCAATATGGTGAAACCCATCTCTACTAAAAATAGAAAAATTAGCTGGGCATGGTGGCACGTGCCTATAGTCTCAGCTACTTGGGAGGCTGAGGCAGGAGAATCGCTTGGATTCTCCAGAAGGTGGAGGTTGCAGTAAGCTGAGATCACGCCATTGCACTCCAGCCTGGGTAACAGAGTGAGACCCTGTCTCAAAAAAAAATATTTAAAAAAAACATGGCAGATGGCAGCCTGTGTGTGTGTGACATACATTTACTTATAAACTTTTGTTTTTCCATACTTTTGTTTTATGATTAATTGCCTGTTAGGCATTTATTGTAGGTGTGATACTGTAAAATATATATTTGATCTTTGACCTGTTTTCTGACATACAACTTCTAAAATCCTTAAAATCTCCAAAATAATGTCTTTTTGTGTGCTAATGAGATGACTGGTGGCAGACAGCCCCTAGATAGCTTCAAACGGGGTGTATTAGTCCATTCTCATGCTGCTAATTAACACACACCTAAGACTGGGTAATTTATACAGAAAAAGAGGCTTAATGAACTCACAGTTGCACATGGCTGGGGAGGCCCGCCAATCATGGCAGAAGGTGAAGGAGGAGCAAAGGCACAGGTTACACGGCAGCAGGCAAGAGAGTATGTGCAGGGGAACTGTCCTTTATAAAACCATCAGATCTCATGAGACTTATTCACTATCATGAGAGTAGCACAGGAAAAACTTGTCCCCATGATTCAATGACCTCCCATCTGGTCCCTCCCATGACATGTGGGGATTATGGGAGCTACAATTCAAGATGAGATTTGGGGGGTGGGGACACAGCCAAACCATATCATGGGGGCTGGCCCCCAGAAAGAACAAAAAATGATTAGAGTGCTAGATTTTCATCCCCATCTCCCAACCTTTGGGGAGGGGAAAAGGGTTGAAGGCTAAGTTGATCACCAGCGTCCAATGGTTTACTTAGTCATAAAATCTCAAAATGACTGACTTTGGGGAGCTTCTAGATAGCTGAACATGTGGAGGTTCTAGAAGGGCAGCATGCTCAGGGAAGGCATGGAAGCTGTGTGCCCCTTCCCTGATACCTTGACCTATATATCTCTTCATCTGTATCCTTTGTAATATCATTTATATTAAAGGTAAACTGGTGAATATGAGTGTTTCCCTTAGTTCTGTGAGCCACTGTAGCATATTACTCGAATTTAAGGAGGGGATCATGTGACTGTTGATTTATAGCCAGCAGTTCAGAAGCATGGGCAAAACAACCTGTGCTTGTGAGTGGTATCAGAAGTGGGGTGGAAGCAGTTTTGTATGACTGAGCCCTTAATTTGTGGGAACTATGCTAACTCGATGTAGATGGTGTCAGTATTTAATTGAATTAGAGGATACCCAGCTAGTGTCTGCTGCAGAACTGATTGCTTTCTTGGTGTGTAATACAAAACCACACACACATTTGGACACAGAAGTCTTCTGTGTAATTGTTGTGGTTTGGGAGCAGAGGAAAATACGTTTGTTTTTTCCACAGTTTGTGTTTGTGTTTTTTCCACCCAGAGTGGGGAAAACACTTTCTAAAATGTTAAACATAGAGTTACCATGTGATCCAGTAATTCCATCCCAATGTATGTACCCAAAAGGATTGAAAGCAGAGTCTCAAGCAGGTATGTGTACGCCCACGTTCATAGCAGCACGATTTACAATTCGAAAAGGTAGAAACAATCCAAATGTTCATAAATGAATAAATGGATAAGCAAAATTAACATATACATATATGTATACCAAATAGATAGATAGATAGTAACTATTACAGAACTTTAAAATGGAATAAAATACTGATACTTGTTATGATATGGATGAACCTGGAAAGCATCATGCTAAATTAAAGAAGCCAGACACAAAGGGTTGCATAATGAATTATTCCATTTATATGAAGCATCCAGAATAGGCAAATCCATAGAGATAGTATTTCAGGAATCCAAGAGTAAAACTTTAAAAGCAGTTCAGATAATACATTTATTGAATATATTATCCACTCACACAGAGATTTATATAGAGGAGTCCCTATGTGGAGCCTGTTCATGTTATTGGCCAGGTTTCTAGTGCAATTATTTGTCTTCTATCATCTTTCTAAGTTTTCTATCTTTTAATGTTATGTTCTCTCGTCTACAGGACTTTACTTCAAGTAGCCTCAAAGCTTTTTTAGAAGTGGGTAAGATAAAGTTATAACTAAGAAGCTAAACAAAAACTCTCTTTACACTTAACAACAAACAAAATTGCTTATTTGACCTGAAATAAAAATTTGATAAAAAAACTCACACCTCCATTGTTCTTTTGACTTAACATTCATGTTACCAAGTGTGAAAGGTTCACTAAACTGAATATGGTTTCATTGTCTTTTTCTTCACAAGAAGGTTTTGTTTAGTTGAGCGCTTTCTGCTGTGCAAGTTTTATAGTGAGGTGTCCAGCTTTCCCTCCAATCATACTGCCCATTGGTATGTTATGAAACAGTTTATGGCCTTCATTAACTTTGATGATAATAATTAAATGAAGCTGTGAATTACGTCCAGGGACAGCTCTCTGGGGTGTTCCTGATTCAGTTTCCACAGACAATCAAGAGATGGTTGGTCTAACTAAGCCAGAGTCCAGAATATTGTGACTTAAATATCTTCTGAAAATAGAAGTCTGTCCATAGAGAAAAAATATAAGAACAGAAACAAATATAAGTCAGTACAGAGAGAGCCTTGCGATGAGCACACAGACTGCAGTAGAGGAAGCTTCAGAGGACAGGCAGTGCTTCCTCTGGGTGTCAGCCTGATTCGGCGAGGAGGAAAGGTCAGTGGCACCTGCTAAGCCCTTGCAATGAACTGAGCATATAGCATCTCTTTAGTCCTCACAAAACTCTCATAAAGATGCCGCACTGTGCCCACTGCCCAGAAGAGTGAACAAATGCTTGTT